ATTTAAAAACAGCTGAATTTTGTTCTTAACTCTCTCCTGTCCTGCATGCTTCCTCTTTTTTGGAGCTGCCAAGACAATTGTGATAAGAGCAGATCTGTGGTCCTTTAAGGATTTACGTAAAAGGCAACCACATTTCAGAGGAAAACCCTGACATACGTTTGTGAGTCTTACGTTCTCATTTGGAAGACATAAAGTCCAACTTAAACTATCTAGAACCACATGTTTTGCTTAAGTCATGCTTGGTATTAAGTTAAACATTAACTTTTTTTTTTTCTCCATGGCCAAAGTGGAAAAATTCTGGCCAGAATATCACTTCTGAAAGTAGAAAACAGGTCCACTTCCACCTCTACCACACCTTTCCAATGTCACACCAATCATGATACGCTCCAGTCCATAAAACCTTTAGCAGAAGATTTTATTCAATGACTAACAGGTTATGTTAATTAATTCAGAGAAATGAGATTGTATATTTTTAAAAATACACTCATTTTTGTGGCCCTGAACTAATAGTAATGTTACTTTTTGTCCTCTCAGTTCAGAAAGCTGCATTAGAAGTGACTGCTCTGAGAAATCCGGAGAGGCTCTGCTGGGTGGATGTGGGTAGTGGAAACCATAATCCAGGAGAAACGTTACTGTTCTTGGTTACAAACCTCACCTATGCGGTTGTTAACGGTGGGTGATCTCCCTTCCCCGGGACTGCCTCCCTCCCCACCTTTCTATTACTTCGTTTTTGACTACGGTGACTTCCATGCCGGAACTACTGTCCTCTTTTTCACAACAGGGCTTTCTGTTCACTGCCAACTGCAAATATTTGCTCTTCATGTTGTTTTTGTTGATAAATTCTTAGTTTTGGTTTTAGTTTCACTATGGTCTGACAGAGTTTCAGTGCTAAGAAATAATGACATTGTTCCCGGTCAGAGTAAAAGCCAAAGAGAGCAGAGCACCATCTCCTATGCCTCAGACTCTGTTCTCACTCCTGGAAATAACAGGCAAGTACATAACAAGTACAAACGCCTCTGCTTCTCTTACTCAGAAATCCTACATATCTTAGTTGCATAGTTTCAGCCAAACCATGCAACCAGCTATTTATTTTCATGCAAATAAATAACTTGCAATAAGGTCAAATTCCTGGAACTGAAAGATCAAAGATAAACTTTATTCTCCAGCAAATATGAAAATCCAAATATTTCAGAGATTCCTGGCCCAAAAATAAATAAATAAATAATCACAATAAGCCTTTGTACCCATTTTAAGGAACACTTCATGCCTATGAATTATTAAAATCTGAAAGTCAACTTATTTAATTGCTTAACGTTTAAGCCTTTTTACAAACTATTATTATCATAACAAGAAAAGCATTTAAGGACCTCTTCACTGAAGTTAGCCAAATATTAGAGGTAAATACCTTTTTAGGCTGGAGCTGTGATACTAAGTGAGCGTATGCTTAAAAAAAATGCTCCGTGACTTAGTGAGAAACGAACTACACATGAATAAATAGGCGAAAGAATTTGACAGACTGAATGTGAGTGAATCTCTGCAATATTGCTGAAAGTCACTCTATAATAATACATATGTCCACCTTTGGACAAAATTCCAAATTAAAGAGACAGCGACATTGCTCATTCCCAAATGTCAGCTCAGAGTTAAAGACAACTGAGAAAAAACAAACATGTGGCATTGCATAACATGAAGAGGAAGCAACAGCATGCCACTTGATCAGAGGTAGTCAGGTGGTTTGATCACATTGGCTTTATTCTGTCAACTTCCTTCCAGGAAGTTTAGAGGTTTGACCAATGAGGTCTACTGTTGATTCTTATGCCACCGTCCTCCCTTCCTCCTCCTTTGTGGCCTAAAACTTACCCACACCCCAGGTTCTTTGACGTCCTCACTGTTACAGCCATAGTAGTCTGGGGTTTTATCCAATTCCTGCATGTTTCCTTGTGCTCTTATGCTCTTATCCGCATGGCAAGAAGAGCAGAGGGCTGCATTCCCCATCTCAGCTCTACAGTTACTGCTGTCAGTGGGCCCGTCCTTGCCCTCTGCACTCTGTCCAGGGCTCCCAGGGGTACACTAATGTGGGCAATTCATCAAGATGATCCTTGGCTCCTCTGCTCAGTTCCCTTACACGCCCCTCACCAGTTCTCCCCATCTGCTGGCTGGCTTGCTGGTGTCAGAGAGAACTCAAAACCCCCGGCAACTGCAGGCTGCATTCAGTGACCATTTCCAGTGCAGGCGCTGCCAGTCTATTTTTACACCTACCAGGCCAGCTATGCATGTCAATGGAGTGAGGGGGGTGAGCCAGACAGAGAGCAGGGGAGGGGGCGGTGTTGTTTTGTTTTTCACCATGCAAGCAGCCTGCCTCACACATGGACTTAAGTTCCTGCTGGGTAAAATGTCTCTATATATGAGAATTTTTGCATTGCTCAATGAATGCTTTTGAATCTTTTTATTTCCCTCTTCTCTGTCTCTTATTCACACAATACTAAATATTTCAACGAATCTGCTTTATCAGCAGAACAGATAAAAATTATTTTTGTAATTGCTTCAACCAAGTGGAAACTACTTGGCTTATGTACACTATCTTTCTCATTATTGTCACAGAAAACAATTAGCCATCCTTTTAGCATTCTTTTAACATGTAATATTCGTTGGAAACATATCCATCAAATGGCTCACCTGACACCGGTATAGAAACTTTGGTTTTTATAATTGTGTAGTTTGTCATTATTCATGATTGTGCCACATCAGAGCAAACATGTTGATTCATTTATAATTCGTTTTAATTTTTAGTATTTTGAAAATGTTTTCCCCAGCTTTACAAACAATAATCAAGATGGCTTTCAACACCATCCAATCTTTGAAATCATATTACAGATTTTTGAAAGAAATTGTTTCCCACCAAGATGAGCATAGCAAATATACACTAGATATGCTGTATGAAGCTAATTATGATCAAAATCAAAGCTTTGTGATGGACTAATATGGATTAAGCTTTATTCCTCCATTAGGGTTTCCTCTAAAACTACATATGTATATTTAAAACTATATATTTATATATAAAATTTTATATATTATATACTTTAGCTAGTATACAGTTTATAAAACCATATAACATACATTAATATAAATATTATTATACATAATTATTTGAATATTAGTCCTATCCTTCCTCATGTGTTATTTGCATGTATATACAGCTTGTTTTGCAAATGCAGGGTCCAGACTTAGATTTTGTATTAAGCATCCACATGCTATAAATTAAATGTTAAATGTCTAAAAAAAGTATTGAATTGGAAGCAATTATTTGGGGAAAACAGGATGTGGAAGATATTTAGAAACTAACCATATTACATTTGATAGACTAGAATTTTCCTTTCCAATGTGTCATTTTCTTTTAAAAGCTAAAAACCATTTGCCATTAAAAAAAAAAAAAAATTTAAAATAACATTCCTGAAATACCTTTCTCAGATTTGAGTTCACAAATCCCTAAACACTCAAATCTGAGAAGGACATTTTTGTATTGTTGCTTTCCACAGGGCCCCACGCTGCTTTTTTGTCAATCTGGTTTTGAATAACTCTTCATTCCAGAGTTTATGAGCCTTAAGTATCTTGCTTATTATAAAGTTCCTATCCTTACAATCCAGTTTCTGAGGCATCGCCAGTATTCAGTGAAATTACTTTAACTTCCCAGCTATAGGTGAAGGCATCTCTTAAAATCATGTTTTAAAAATTACTGACTGAACCAACAATATTATGACAACAATAGAAGGGGGCACATTTCGCCATTCATGTTAAAGGAGCATAATATAAACCTTTTAAATGTTAAAGTTTTAAGTGAAAGTATTCACAAAGATGATGCTTCAAAATCAGTAACAAGGTTAGACTGTTGGCCGGGATACAGCAAGCAAAGCCTTTCATGTTGCCTGAATAATTTTATATAGACTAATGATTCATCATAATATGGTAGTTTCTCATCAAATTTTCCACATATTTGAACCATGTACTGTAGAAATTAAGTAGGCTATAATGTTTAATGCTGTATTTATAAATTATTTTACAAAGATGTGGTTTTAACTTTTTTGTCTCCTTCCATAAGGTTCTTAGAACCTGGAGAAGGTCTGCGGTAGACAAAGTCTTATAATAGGTGCTTCTTCTTGAATATATATGAACTATTTTATTCAGAATATAAACCCACAACAAAGAATGCCAACCAAGATTTTTCCAGCTATTGAAAGAGATGCACTCCCCCACACCCACTTTTGGAATTAGTGTACTATTTTAAAACATTCAATAGAATCTTCAAAATAGAATTATGTCCACTTAAAACACTGGTTGTAAATCCTAAAAATTACCTCTAGTCTCCTCACTTCATTCTGGAGCTGAGGTCTGAAACTCGTACTTACACATGGTAAAGGAATATTTAACCACAGCAGATTTGGGAGATGCCCCTAGTGCTAGATGAATAATTTTGCTGTGCTTTAACAGCTCGAATTGTTTCCTGGCATCTTTCTGTCTCATTAATACATTACCCATTCCACCACCACGCCTTTAATTTTACTTCTTCCGCCAAGCATGCCTTCCCCCTCTCCCCCAGTCCATGTTCACTGTCTCCTTCAAAGCTCATCTTAAAGCTTTCCTTTCTTCTGCAAGGCTTCATTACACCTTTGTTGTTAGTCCCTTAATTTGTGTTAGTATCTTTTTGAATAAGGTTGTGACTACTATCAGCTCCCGCTCTTTACAAGATATGCCTGTTTTCTCTGACCGATGTCCTCACATACCTAAATATGCACCCTAGTATTAAATGTTTGTGAGGTAAATGAATAAAAGGCAGCCACAGATAGGGGCGCAATTCATAATATCAATATTTAACTGGACTACACTGACCTAAACTTCTTCTTCTTTTTTTTTTTCTTTTTTTCTTTTTTGCAGATTAACAGGAACAGATTTAATAATTTTAAACATATATAAGTATGACAAATATTTAATTTCTTTTCCAGAATTTCAACAAACTTCACTTTTGGCCTTTAAAAAAAAAAGGTTAAATCTTCCTAGAAAACAAGTTACAGTGCTTTGTTAAGAAGGAAAAAACCACAGAGACTATGAACGAACCAAGTAACATGCTGACAACTGTTGGAAGACACTTTCCCTAAATGACTAGTTATTTGTTTTCTTCTACCCCTCTTTCTTTTTCTTCATCTCGGGGCAAATCATCTCATGCTTTCTCCAATAAAGAAACTTTCTGCTTGATGAATATAATATCCATACTCCTATGATTAACACTGCCCCAAATATGCCATGGAGTGATCCCTGAACCCCACTGCTAAAGCTTAGTGACCAAACAGGGACGGGCCAAGGAAAGACAAATACAAACACCTGGGCTACTGTGATGGCTGAAATTTCCTATTTTCTGGCTGAACAGATTTAAATTATCAACCTGGAACCCGGAAAACATCGTAGTTGTGAAAACAGAATTTCCAATGAGCAGCTTCCTATGTGCGATCACTTCAAACTTTGCCGATGATTGGATACTTTCTAACAAAAAATAAAAGCGTAAGGAGTCTGCAGAAGAGGACCTTACTTCAGAAGTTAAAACATCTCTAGTTCTATCTTCCAGTGGTTAACTCAGAGTGACTGCCAGACAGGTTTGGCACAGAAGCTTGGGTGATGTGACAACCTATATACATAACATTTTGTCAAACTGAAGGAAAGCTTAGCAAATACAATGCAGCAGCATCCTTTAATAATCTGCCAGTAGACAGTCGGGATCTCTGTGGACATCTGACAAGGAATATGCTTTCTGCCAGGGCAGAACAATGTCACCACTGTTTTTCAAAAATGCTTCAAAGTCATTAGGGCAAATTACTCAGAAAGCAAATATTTGCATGTTTGACCACACTTAGAGCAGGATACTCGAATTTGATACATGACTTAGAAAGTGAAATTCAAAGCCTCCATGACGTGACATATTTGCAATATCTTCTTAAATTCCCAGGCACTTTTACTGTTATTATTTCATCTGTATTGCTGTGTTTCAAATCCATCATAAGAGAAAAGCGATTAAGGACTGAGAACAAAGGCTAGCTTCTCAGCTTTAATCTTCTGAAAGTTACTGCTGAAGTCCCTATGACAGCAAATCTAAAAATCATTCGCTGCAGTTTTAAGTTTCACCTTTTAAATAGGAAGTCATGATTACAGAACCATCAGGAAACTAACACCTTGGAGAAGAAATAACTGTCTCAGTTCCAACATTTAACCTAAAGGGTTAGATCATAATTCCTGAAGTGAAGTTTTGAAAAGATCTCTTAGCTAGGACTTACTAATCCCAGGTTTTGATTCCACTATGAATTTGTCTGTGTGGACTTTCATAACCTTGATCAAATCTGAGCTTCTGTTTTCTTGTTTTTGAAAAAAGAAAATCAGATTCGACGGTTGTTGGATCCCTTTCAGCTCTGAAGTTTTTCACTTCTATGACACAGAATGTGTAACATTTGAACACACACCTAACACAAGGCCACAGTTGAAGGTGGTCACCTATTTAGTCCATTTGCATGAGGAAAAAAAGGATAGGAATCACATGGTTTATCATTCTCCGGGCTGGCTTTGCTCAGTAGCGTTTCCCTGGCAGACTCACGAGGAGGATGAAAATACCTCTGTGGCATATGACAGACTCTTTGTTGATATCCAGGAGCTCTTTTTCAAGGTGAGGACCATTTCACTCTTATTCCACCTTTACTGAGTGTTAGCCTCACTTAAACCCTGCCACATCTTTTACGTGTCACAACTGTAAACTAACTGTCACCTGGAAACATTCTTACTCTCCCAAACTGGCTTTGCAGGACAGCTTTATAGGATTTTGTAAGACAAGTCTTTGCAAATCAACTGTGTAAGCTAGTTTTATTTTCCTTCAAATGTTTTGATTGATTTATGCTTTTTTTTGTTTGTTTTTGAGATGGAGTTTCCCTCTTGTTGCCCAGGCTGGAGTGCAATGGCATGATCTCGGCTCATTGCAACCTCTGCCTTCTGGGTTCAAGTGATTCTCCTGCCTCAGCTTCCCAAGTAGCAGGGACTACAGGCATGCACGAGCACGCCTGGCTAATTTTGTGTTTTTAGTAGAGACGGGGTTTCACCATGTTGGTCAGGCTGGTCTCAAACTCTTGACCTCAAGTGATCCACCTGCCTCAGCCTCCAAAAGTGCTGGGGTTGCAGATGTGAGCCACTGGGCCCAGCTGATCAATTTATTCTTAAAGGGCTAGTGCTATCATATTAAAAAGACTGAAAAAAAAAATTGCCATGAGTCTTTAAAGTGGCAAATCAGAATGTTTCACTCAGAGTCATGGAATTAAATTTTTTTTTCTCCTCCAAGATCCAAGGGTTATTCAAGAATATCACACAAATTTAAAAAGGTCATGTAGAGTTTCTCTTAATCTAACTATCATGTGCAAAAAAACTATCCTAACACGCTATTTAGTCAACACTTTATATTTTTCAGATGATCATTAATATGTAAGATTTATGATACCTTCACTGAATTTAGAAATCTGCTTCAATTACTGTCTGTCCTTCTCCCCGTTTTTGACCATGGCAGCTACAATTCAAGACTGAGAGTTTCACTCAAATGCATTTATCTAATTAAATTAACGTTAGGTTATCCCTATTGCATGCAGAATTCTCGATGCCCACATAGTCACGTGAATCCAAGGACAAGTTCTCCTGTCTTTGGGAATTACTGACCTGTGGAAAGAAAATTGGAACATTCCGTGCAATAAGCAAGGCAGCATGCTATTTTCTTCCATGTTTGGGTACATTCAATACAATTTATTTGACTAAAAGTTAAACACATAATGATTTTTACAAATTGGCCCTGTTTATAGCTGATCAATCAGGAAAACTGTTGCGTAACTTATGGATCTACACTAAATTCCCTATATGGACATGCGGCATAACTTTTCTAATTGGGGTCAATATAAATGACTTTACTGTTTATGCTTTACACAGATTAATCAAAATGAATATCACCAAGTTATTCATGTGCCCACAAACAAGTTATTCATGTGCCCACAAACATCAATTAACCAATTTAATTTTACATTCCTTCCAGCTATTATTTTCATTCCAGACTGCTGCCTCTTGACTTCTGGTACATGAAGGACAACATTCTTTAATAAACAGTGCTAACAGCTTGTGTAGCTTTCTGAAGGCTACTCCACGCAATGCCCAGCACAAAGTGGGCACTCAATAAATGTTGCTGACTGACATTAAAGAGATTATGAGGACGGAAGTGTAGGGTGGCCAAAGCAAGCCTAAGGGGCCACTTGACTAATTCTATGTTCTGTCATATCGGACTGTATTTTCAAATGCAACGTGAATAAAACAATTTAGCCATTGTGAACCCCGACTTATTTTGAAGAAAAATATGTGTGTACAGAATCCCCCCAAACTGGTTAACTACTAAAGCAGGGGCTTCCCCACAGCTTTTTTGAAGAGACGGTCAAGTGATTAAAATGAAAAAGCAAGACGGGGGCTTCATTACAATCTGACTATAATAGCTATTTTTTGAAGCCTAAGCCAGTGTATAAACACTTCTAGTAAGTTTCCATCTGGCAACCAGCTGATCGAGATAATCTGAAAAGTACTCATTTAAGGTGATTTTAAAATGAATGGTGCATAGCATGAGAATTGATCAGTTAATGGGCAAAGTCTGGTGCCCAGAAGAACAACAATCTTAGAAGAGGTGTGACTGTTCATGGTAGGTTGGGGAGAAGGCTGTCCAGCTATGTTCTATGTGTTGCATGCCATGGTTGTCCAGACCTATCTATCAAAGAGGACTCACATGCCACGGTAGTTAGACACACTGCTTGAGCATCTAGACAAGAAAAACGGGAGTATTGTATTAATGAGATTTATAATCAACCCCCCCAAATAATGTCTTACTATTAAGCAAATGCTGCCATGAAGCCCCAATGAACTATTCATGACTAAGGCTAGCAAATAAAATATTCATTCATCCTCTCCTACTACTTATTCTATTAGTATTTGGCCAGTGTTTTCCTTTGAAAGTTCACAGGCATTAAGCTACATATTATTTATATGTTCAGTTTGTATACTCACCCTAGAGGTTCTAGAGAAATAACAACCTTTCATAAACTTTTTGGGGCATCAACGCATGGATTTAAATGTTTTGATACATTTGTCATTACCAAAGATTTCTTCAACTGTAACAGAGATCCAGTTCGTGGTAACCTATACTCAATATTAAAATCTATTGGTTTCAAAATAGTTTAAAATCCTACTTTCCCTACAAAATACACACATATTGACATTTGAAATTAAAGGAGGACACAGACATTGAAAATACACTTCCAGGCGCAGGCCAGGCATTCATCAGTCAATAACAAACCTAAGTTCAAACTAAATATCTGATGCTGGTCAACTAGCGCATATATGAGTATTTATTTAGAATTACCAATTAACTGGATTTATTATGAGGATAACTGATTTTCTTGTACTATGTTAAAACATGGAGTCAACTAGGCTCTTGCAGTTGTGTTGCACCGACATCAGAGAGTGACTGTAAAATATATTATTATTTTAAACAGCATGATGAGTGTGCATTTAGTCAAGAACAGTGGCACTACAATTATGGAATGATAAATAGAACTAAATTCATTTTATGTCAAAAGACAGAAAACTTAGATCTCCAAAAAGAACTTGAAATTCATTGTCCAACTTCACTTCACTTGTGGTTTTATTTCAGGATGTCTTTAGAGTAAATGTATTATACACTTCAAGGTATAAAGAATTATTTTGACCCTTCACATATTATTCATACTGAAATAAGTATCCTGAATATATATATTGTTTTCTCTGGAAATGGGAGAACTATTTTCAAGTTTCAATCTTGCCTACTTTTCTTCTGAAACAAAATCCCTTTATAAGCAATCAAAAATTCTGGAAATACAGTCATAAATATATTAGAAAGTCAGCTGCTGTTATTTCATTCTTCTAAAATTATGTTTAATGTGGTCTTTGTCCTCTAAGCTCCATTGCTATTAGCTACATGCAGAGAAATAAATTCTAGATGGACACTATCAGCTGTCATTTTGAACTTTGGTGCTCTCATCTGTCAATGACTAAGTTATTGAGTAATACACTCAGCTTGATGTTTAATGTAGTTTAATCATTTACAGTCAGAGGTTTATAAATTCACACTTTAGTCCACATAAAATTATCTTTTCTCTTACCAGAGATAGAAGGAAGGAAGAGCGAAGGAGGAAAGAAGAAATAAATATATAATATTGCATTTAAAATGCAGATATATCGCTAATATAGACTAAGGAGTTTTTTCTCTTTAAGAGCACATTATTAGAAAATATTTTAAGAAAAATGTTTGTTCTTTTCTACTAGTTCTTTAGTATTTGAACATGCTCAGTGCTTTCTAAGCCAATGCCCTTTCTCAACCTGTCCTGGGCCCAGTCTTCTCTGCCTCAGTGACCATTCAACTGCTCCTGGCCCAGTTCTTCTCTAGACCTCACGTGCCATCAAACCTGCTCCTGGCCCAGTCTTCTCTGCCTCAGTGACCAGCAGCCCTATACACCTTGCTGCCCAAGCTGACAATCTTGAAGTGGTTGACATTACCCATACATCCAATCCTGCAAGGTCTACTTTTTTCCATCCCTTTGCCACTGTTTTAGCTCAGTGATTTATTTCCTGACTGAATTACTGTAACTGTCTCCTAAAGAGTTTACTGGTTTTAGCTTTGCTCTGTTTCAATCCATTTGCCATGTGCCTTAGCCAGGGAGATCTTTCCAAAGCTCAGACCTATTGAAGTAACTCCCTGTAATCTTCAAGACAAAAGCGAAAATCTAGGCCAGGTGCGGTGGCTCACGTATGCAATCCCAGCACTTTGGGCGGCCAAGGTGGGTGGATCACTTGAGGTCAGGAGTTTGAGACCAGCCTGGCCAGCCTGTAATCCCAGCACTTTGAGAGGCCAAGGTGGGTGGATCACATGAGGTCAGGAGTTTGAGACCAGCTTGGCCAGCATGGTGAAACCTCATCTCTACTAAAAATACAAAAATTAGCCAGGCCTGGTGGCACAGACCTGTAATTCCAGCTACTCAAGAGGCTGAGGCAGGAGAATCACTTGAACCTGGGAGGCAGAGGTTGCAGTGAGCCAAGACTGCACCACTGCACTCCAAACTGGGTGACAGAAAAAAACCCCCTCTCAAAAAAAAAAAAAAAAAAAAGCCAAACTCCAATCCTTAATAATGTGGTATGGACTCCTATCTGAGCTGATCTTTCTTTACCCAGTTTTTGTTTTTTGTTTATTTGTTTGTTTTGAGACAGGGTCTAGCTCTGCCACCCAGGCAGGAGTGCAGTGGCATTCATTGAAACCTCCACCTCCCCGGGTTCAAGCGGTTCTACCACCTGAGCCTCACAAGTAGCTGGGATTACACGCATGCACCACCACACCTGGCTAATTTTTGTATTTTTGGTAGAGACAGAGTTTCACCATGTTGCCCAGGATGGTCTCAAACTCCTGGACTCAAGCATTCCTCCCAAGTACTGGGATTACAGGTGCGAGCCACCATTCCCAGCGTATTCCAGTTTTCATAATCTCATCTTTGCGTTCTCTCCCTTGAAATTTCTTCTGGACTTTTATTAATAACTATTCCCCACCTGGATCACCTCCCTCCCTCTCAGCATCTGCAAGACTCCTCTTGGAAGCCTCATCAACAGGATTAGGAGCCTGCTGTGGACATACAGCCATCATGATGGTTGTTACCCTATATTTTAATTGTCTTTTTATGAACAGACACAATATTTTATTTGTCTGTTTGTCCTCAGTACTCCTGATAGTGCCCCTATACAGCAGGCACTCATAATTGATTATTGACAAAATGAGCAATAAAAAAAACTTCCTTCACATATTTAAAATATGAATGGTTTCTGCAAACATTTATTTCATTCTTCTCACAAATATTTATTCAGCACTATACGCAGGCCCAAACACAACATTTAAATAAAAAGAGACAAATGCGTATTATTACTGATGTACTCCCAGAAATACTTCAATGAATCTCTGAGAATAGCAATCTGCAGTCATTTACCAAATTACCATTAAAAGTGATTTTGTTTTGGTCACATTACTATTCTGTCAGTTCTTGTATGATTATATTTTCAGATGTTTGATTTTTGTCCAGGCGCTGAATCTGTTGGTAGCCATCTGAGCATGAGGAGGAATGAAAAGAACAAAAATGCCAGTGGCCACAAGAGCATCAGTAGCCACGAACCAGAAGATGGTTCATGAGGTAAGAGTAAGACTGTTGTTGATCACATCATGGATATTTCAGAATATCCATCAATGTGACTATAAACATATGGGGAGTAATCATTGCTAATGTCAGGGAAATATAATTATTGTTCTCTAGAGATCCAGAAGGATTACTGTTATCATAAATGTCTACACACACACACACACACACACACACACACACACACACACACACCAAGCTCTATGGTTTGGCCATCATTCGCCTCTAAGCTATTACATGTAGTGAAAAGCTCTTTTCGTTCCACTCTTTCCACCTGTAGGGCTTCTCTGCATTCTTTCATTATTGGTTGCCCTTTTCCAGTGATGGATCCATCACTAGGTCCCTGCCTGACCGTGATATCTAATACTCCTCACAGCTGTCACCTCTGTGTGGCCATCACTTTACTGACATTGCCTTTAATCTATGACACTCAACGCTGCTCCTCTCTCCACAGTTTTTCTTTATTTTTCATAGGTATCTTTACTTCTAACATGTCTTACCTTCAGAGCAAATGCTAACCTTTTAGAGACAATAGCCACCAATAATATGGCATCTCATAGATGCAAAAATGCCCCACAGTTATCAGCCTATAATAAATACTCATAGAAAGATGTGCATTTTCTACTTACGTTCATGACCAACAACCCATTCAAATACCTAGGTGGAGTTCTCCATTCTTTGCCACTATGAAACATCAGTAATTCAGATAAATGCTAACTGTAGTAACTGTGCATCCTGAAGAAATGGGCACCATAAAACTTCGGTCATGCCACTTCTAATGTCTAAAATTAGAATTTCCAATTTTTAAGTTTCTATGGTTATAAAATTAATCTGACTTCATATTTTGATAACTCAAACTATATGGCAAAGTTCTAATCTGATTTTGTCAAGTTTTACTAAATACAAAGTTCATGTTATATTTAGTAGACCAAGAAGTATGTCATGACAGTTTAATTTTGTCCTAAATTCTTCCTAAAAAAAGAATTATCAATAAAAGAGACTGTGGCTTTCATTAACCACTGACATTTTAAAATGTCAATTTTACTGAAATATGCCCTTTCTATTTTAATAACATTCGATTTTAGCTGATCTGGAGATCAAGTGTTAAAAACCATCTCTGATAAGGTAGAAGGTAGTTTTTTTTTTTCCTTGCTCTGGAACAAGGAGAACATAGTTCAGTTTATTATTATTCCACACTAAGATAAGGGGGGATTGATTTTCCTGTGGTATAAAGATGTCTTCCAGATCCTCGACCTCAAAACTGTTCAGCAGAGCAGAAGAGGCATTCAAAGAGCTCTATGCACTCCCAAACTTTTCATATTTGTTGTCAGTAATACCTCAGTAGCCCTCCTCCTTTATTTTACTTTAAATTTTGTCCTTGGGTTCTCTCTGTGGTTGCAGTGAGAGAGAGAGAGAGAGAGAGAGGAGAAGAAGACGGAGGAGAGCAGAGAAGAGAAGAGAAAGAGAAAAGGAGGAGGACGAAGAAGGAGAAAAAAGAAAGAAGAAGAAAAGAAAGAAGAAAGAAAGAAAAAAGAAGAGAAGAAAGAAAGAGAAAGAAAGAAAGAAAGAAAGAAAGAAAGAAGAAGGAAGGAAGAGAAAGAAAGAAGAAAGAAGAAAGAAAGAAAGAAAGAAAGAAAGAAAGAAAGAAAGAAAGAAAGAAAGAAGAAGAAAGAAAGGAAGGAAGGAAGAAGGAAGGAAGGAAGGAAGGAAGGAAGGAAGGAAGGAAGGGGAAGGAAGGAAGGAAGGAAGGGGAAGGAAGGAAGGAAGGAAGGAAAGAAGGAAGGAAGGAAGGAAGGAAGGAAGGAAATAAAGAGACAACTTTCAGGAAATTTTAGAGTTACTTCCATTGCAGTTTAATAAACTAACTCCAAACTAGCCAATCATATGATACTTTGGGTCGGAAACTACCTCACCTCTCTTCTATTCTAACGAGAGTTCCTGTTGATTACATCTAAGACTTAGAAACTGGCCTTGATGCTATTTTGATCATTGGAGGTGCTAGTAGTATAGATGGTTTCAGCACTTGATAACTCTAGCTCTTCTGTCCTTCTTCCTGCAATCTTATTATTAGGGACCTTGTTGTAGTGTAAATCTTATCATAATTCTTCAGAGACTTCCCCCGCTATTTTGTTTGTCTGTTCCTTGAGAGGTTAGAAATATTTTTGTGTAACTTGGTGATACATATTTTTCATCACAGCTACTCTTCTTTATAGCATTATAAGGTCAGTTGGAGAAGCACAGATTCCAGTCATGTGGGGTCTTACCTCTTCCTTCCTTCTTAAACCTCACTTTTTCCATCTGACAAAAGGGAGTTATAATCATTTCTACCTCATGATGTTGCTGAAAAGATTAAATAAGTCAATGCATCTTAAGTACTTAGGACAGTGTCCGGTATATAGCGTTGCACAGGAAGCTAACTATGATTATTTTTCCTCCACTCTATTCTTTTTTCTCTTTTTGAATCAGATGGGTCTAAGGTTTATTATCTGCCCTAAAATTTAAGTTAAAAATACTACAAATCAGACATTACGTGGTAGTATAGCATGGTTTAGAGAAAAGGAATGGGCTTTGGAATCTGGCCTCTGGGGTCTGTCACTTAATGTATTTATTTGCCATGAAATTTGGGGGGAAAATCTTTTTCAAGCATAATATTCAAGCATAATTTTCCTCCCCTAAAAAATGAGATTAAGAATATCTACCCCATTGTGAGAATTAAATAATACAATAAATAATTGTAAAAAGGCAAGTATAGCGTCTACATGCTCTTATTCTTCTCTGGATCAGTTTCTCATGCCTGGGTCCCCTGATAACATCTCACCTGCTGTCTTCATTCACCTCTAATTTCAGAATAAAAGGTCAAACTTTTTTCGGCTTCCATCTAATGTTGACTCATAGTGAAGTCATCTTCAGAAAACTAATTCCTGCTCTCCTATCTTACTAACCATTTAGGAATAACTCCTTATACCTTCGCCTATATCTAGAAACAACCAATAATTAAGTTGCCCTCAAAATATAACTCCATTTTTCTCTTGCTGGTGTCAGTGAAGAGAATTAACTCGTACTTCTGAATTTGGCTTGGACGACCAAAACTCTAGTGCATCTCTCCAGCTGGAGGGCTGCCATGAGGAGGTTTGTAAGTATAATAGTACAACTCCCAAGGTAGAATCATCACAACATTTTTCTTTCCCAATACTGAACCTTTGTCCCATAATCAATATCAGCAGGTAGTATCATGATGGCCAAGAACCAAAGGTCAGCCACACTTTGCTTGATTCCCAAGTATTGATGGCTGCTGGAATTCCCCATTGCTGTATCCCCCTGCTGGAGTGAGAACCCCAATGTTGACTGTTTCCTACCTTGTGGATGAAGCAACTATGTGATATCACACCTGGATACCCTACAGGACCCAGCATGATCTACTCTAGATCAGATCTCTTCACTCCACCCACGGATCTAATGTCAGATCCCAAATGTTCCTGCCAGAGCCATGTATCTCATGGGCTCTGTCTGGCTGAGAAGCTACCATCATGCCACAGGGTCCAGTTCCAGGGTACAAAGTAGTTCTATGGAATGATTCTATACCTTAAATTTCAGTACTTTTTAATCTAAAACATTTTCTATCAATTTCACATACTTATTTAAAGGATCTATCCCTTAGTCAAATTTTATTCAAATGATCATTCCTTTAAGTACATTTGAAGTACATACTGTAGTAAAACTGCAATACTGTAACTTCAATATGTTGAAAACTCCAAGAGAAAAAAGTGAAGGGAGAGACATTATTAAAACATATAAAAATGGAAATGCATTTTGATAAATACATATATGTAGAATACAGATAAATATGTCCACATACACACATATGTGCATATACATCATCATAACTCCAAGGATGAGTATTTTCAAATCATCTACTCCAAAATGAACTAATTAGAAAAATAAACCTCTAAAAAATCAAGTGCAATTATACCATATGGTCTGATAGTTGTGATACCTCTGAATAGTATTATATTTTTTTCTTTTATATGGTAAAAAATATTTTGCTAGTTGACTTTATGACTCTGTTCAGTCAAACTCTTGACCTATCCAGTCTATGGCATTAAATGATCATTGAGCTCAAAGAGGAAAGGGGGAAAAGCAGAAAAAAGCCTTTGAACCCTTAATCCTTTTGTCTATACATTTCACTCTCATATCTTGCCCGGATGTGTTTTGATCCATGAATCTTCAATGAAAATGTATGTGGTTTCACACAGAGAAAAACTGCTTCTTTAGGATATGTGGAATCACAAAGATCCTATTTAAATCTACTCTGCTTTAGTGTGCAGGAATGTTAGGGGGCTTTAAACTCAGTTACAATATACCGCTTGTTGCAACAGAATTGTGCCTTTGGTGTTCTGTTTTACAGGTTTGTCTCCACTTAGGAGTGTAGAAAGTACTTTGACATGCCACAATCACTTAGACCAGTTTTTAAAAGTCTAAACGAGCCTCACACTTCTACTTCTTGTTTTACTTTTGCATTCCAACGATGTGCATGCTTTTTAGCAGCTTTCAAACAAGAGAAACCTACAGATATCAGGGATCAAATGTTTTATAAGTCATTAGAACACTGATATGTCTAACAAGGAGTAGAACCTAGATTTCAGTAATGCAGCCTGTTCCCAGACAATTCAGATGCCTGGGTCACTGGTGTGTGGTTTTCTCACTGCAGGAGCTTAAGTGACATTCATCAAAGTCAAGCCGAAAGAGAACAAGGAAAGTTACAGAGGCTATGCTTCAGGGCAGCTAAATGTGCCACCAATAGGCACTGAGTGTGAACAAGGCTCGAGATGAAGGGGAAAGGAAAACAGTGCAAATAGGAGTTATGAGAGAGGATTGCCAGCCTAAACTAGTAGACTTCATGTATCCCGGAGGAAAGTTTCAAGCTCTACAAAGACTAGGAATTTTGAATTGAAAACAGGAGGATTCGTAGTTAATAAAACTATTCATTAAAAACTGTTATAGTTTTTAAACATTTGTGTGACTTTAAGATGGAAACACAGTGCATTAACGTTTAAATATAAATGGTACAAAGGAAGACAAAAATATTTTTCCAGAAATTTTTTTTGTCTCGTCCTTCATAACATCTTTAGTTTCCTTGTTAATTTATAAAATTCAAAATAGCCATAAACAAAGTGTTCAAAGCTCTGGTTCTGTTTCATTCTCAAATAACTGTTCACATATTGGTACAATCTATGTGTTGCCTAAGGAAACTTCTCTTCCTAGGTTTGATTCAGGAGACTAACTTGTGACAAATTTGAAGTTTAAGTTTAGGACACAAAAATAGTAATTGGATGTTTAAAATCAGTAGAGTATCTATTATGTCTTAGGCAAAGGTGATATGATATAGAATCCTATAGCTATTAGGTGTATAGTAAGCTTGTCAAATCCCATGACATCGGGGCATTAGACTGTTCCAGGCTAGATACTGTTCTCATCTTGCACATTAAAACCTCAAAGTACATGGAGTACCTAAAGTTCTCCCAGGTAAACACACTCAGTTGTCACTACACTGCTTAGTTATGTAAAGAACACACATGTAACATTAATACAGGCACTATCATGGTCTTTGATCACAGTTTGCTCAACTTGCACTATCATTATACGTTTGACTAAAACCGAGAATTTCGTTTCGAAAGTGAACAGATATTACATATCTAAATATTTTACCAAGATAAATTGAAACAGACAAGTAAAATATTAAAGACAAAGAAAAGAGAAGAAAAAAGGTTCCTGAGTTTGGTCATTCTGTAACAAAGTTAATGACAATGAGAAATGGAGTGCCTTTTTAGGAGGGACCACAGGAGTGGTTCGTTAGTCGTACGGGTTCTGTCTGTATGTGGAAAGCAGCTGCTGCTTATGAAAATTATTAGAGAATCAAGTGTGACAAATAAAAAACAAAGTTAGTTTTCATCCTACTGAACCCCAGTTCAAAGTGAAAAATAGATCTCAGTTATAAATTATTAACACTGAAACAGAAACAGCATATTATACAGACACCTGCACAGATTTATGGCATGTCTTAGTTGCAAAAAGAAGTGGAAGAATAGACAGTTATCTAAGTAATTCAAACGAAATAAAGTTATAATTTTGCAAAAGAGAAGGGAGATAGAAAGTGGTCAATGAA